GGGTTCAGCCCAGTAAGTGCCACAGGTTTTTTGCTGAGACGGTGGGGCGGGTGCATACGATCAACAGTCAGCCCCCCTGGCTATTGGGAGGTGTGCCCCTTCACTTGATCGGGCCGGACGAGGGCGTTAAGTATCTGGGCGTTACCGTTAACCCGTGGACAGGGATTGTCTCCAAGGGTATCGGTGAGCGACTCCAGCGGTGGATAGCTGCCATCGGAGGGACACCCTTAGGCCCTTAGATCGAAAGGGTGGACCTGTTGGTTAACTATGCTCTTCCGAGAGTGATCTTCGAGGCCGACCATTGCATGGTGTCAGACCTGGCCCTGACGGAAGTGGACGCTCACATCAGAAAGGCAGTGAAGTCGTGGCTTCACCTGCCAACTTGTACAACAGATGGGTTACTGTACTCCAGGAAGTCCAGCGGTGGACTGGGCATACCCAGATTGTCAAGGGTTGTGGTGGCTATACAAGCCCGGAGGATCTATTGCCTGTTCCAGTCCTCGGACGAAACAGTGCGGTGGATCTCTCGTCGAACGATCAAGTACAGAACTTTCGAGAGAGCTTGGCTGAGAGCTGGGGGTTCACTGGATGAACTTCCCAGCCTGGACCCCCTGCGGAGGGGGAGGAGGTGGGGACTAGTCCAGAGACAGGTTCCCCTGCGGAGGGGCACACGGGGACAGACAGTTGACAGATGGGCTAACCTGAAATCTCAAGGGCGGGGCATTCGGACGTTCGAGGCTGACAGGGTCAGTAATTGCTAGCTAGTCAACCCCCACTCGGGGGGGTTTACTCCCGGCCGGTACATTGCGGCACTTCAGCTAAGGGCAAATGTTTTTCCTACCCGAGAGTCGGCAGGGAGGGGGAGACCGTCCTCAAATGCCCTCTGTTGTCACTGTCGGGGTTCTCCCGAGACCTGTTCGCACATACTTGGGATCTGCCCGAAGGTCCAGCTTGGCCGGATCCGGACGCACCACAAGGTGTGTGATCTCATCGTAACTGAAGCACAGCGCTACGGCTGGAGTGTGATGAGGGAGGCTCGCTGGACCTGCCCTTCGGGGTCGTGTCTGGCGCCCGACCTTGTCCTCACAAAAGGCAATTTGGCACTAGTGGTGGATGTAACGGGGCGAAGGCTGGGCCGTCCGCCATGTCGGTTACAGATGTCGGCCCATACGCAACATACCAGAAACGGCACCCTGCGGCTGGGTGAGGGTGGGACTGTTCTTTGGGATAGTTCCCTCTGCCTGGTCGTGGGGTGTTGGAAAAAGGTGTAGATGTCCGTGGCGTTGTGGCTGGGCCGACAGCTTGCTGCCGGTTACAGGGCGCTCCGGGGGCCATGTGCTGATCAGCCTCTTGAAGCTCGACGGGAGGATCGGTAGCAGTGTGGACTCCTGATACCCACAACTGTGGCCTGTGCCTTCTTTACGGTCTGACTCACACCCACTTCTGGCTTGGGGTGGCTCCCGTCTACGGGGGTTTTGCCTGTCACAGAGGCAGCCGCGCTTACCTGGTGGATCAGGACCACCAGGGACCTTCCGGGTGTGTCCACCAGAAGACCTGTTGGTAGCTGCGGGATGTAGTCGTGACGGTGACCCAGGCATCATCGTGGCCATCGTGAGCGGGCCTCAGTACTGTACGGGGGCATGATACCTGTTCAGTTCTGTCACACTTGTCATGCAATTCGCTCCTGACTACATCTTGGCGTCTCGGTGCTCGCAGTATAAGCCCGCACCCAAGCCAGACCGGCCCGAGGGGCCTGAAAGGGAGACCTTTGCCGCAGGGACAGACCCTGGCATGGCACGTAGGTTCCGGAGGACAGGGCCTGTGAGGGGCGGGGGGCCTCCTGGAAGCATCTCAGATGAAGGATGAGTTCGGCGAGGTTGTCAAGAAGCTTCCCACCGATTGTGGCATACTTGGATAGTTCCGTGGTTGCGGGCTGGGATGGCCCTGTCGGTCTCCTAGTACATAAGGGAATTCTTGGCGCTTTAGGGCGACTGCGGTTGTCGCCCAGCCCCGGTTTTGCCGGCGGTTCCCCCACTCTGGATCTAGAGTGACTTGGAGACCTGGGTGTTCTGCCCAGCTTCAGACCCTACGTTTGGGGGATGTACAACGGACTGAGACATAGTTATGTCTCACACAGGCGCTGGCGTGCAATGGTGTATGCCAAAGCATTGGTAATGGTGAGACTGCCCTTGGGATCAAGGGGACACAAGCTGAGTACCTGTTACTATCTATTCCCCTCATGGAGGAATCCTGGTAAACCCGCTGCCTAGTCCCAGGCAGTACCCTCGGGTGCTCTAGAGTTTTCACCTACTCGAGTAGACCGCATATGAGGAACTCCCCTGGGAGTATAGGGTATCCGGACGTCCCTCGTGCAAGGCCAAACCCTGGCTGGGGCGCAGGTTGGATAGGTCAGGGTGCAAGACCCGCTATCTCTCTGTTGCGTTCAAGTGCTGGTCAGTTGGTTGGTTGAGCGTTTGGTGATTCTTAAGTAATCAGTGTCTCCACCTGGTTGCTTAGACTTTGGTCTTCCCTGAACAGGGGGATGACACCCAGGACCCGGGGTCCAGGTGCCGGTGCCGCTCCGAGGTCAGTGAGGGCAGCGGGTGTCGGTAGGAGGGGACCTCCACCCTCTCTGGCCTGGCGCCTTAAATGGTTGTCCCCTGGCCAAGGTCGGTACCTGTTGCGCAGTCGCAGAGGGAATGTCGCGGGACACTCCTTCTCTGGCGCCTGGCTCCGCTTGAATACTGGTGGTGAGCGTTCTGGTGGGGCGTTGTCGACTGGGCATTGGGACCCCGGGCTAACCCCCCGGCCGTTCCATTGTCGCATTCGGCTCTCGCCTCTGCTGGATGCGCAGCATCACTCCTCCTTGAGAGAGACGGCTGGAGAGGACCGCGGGGGAGCGGTTCCTCCTCCCCGCGGCCCTAACTCTTCCCCCAGCATGGATGGACTGGGTAAGATCAAGAAGTCCAGGACCGGAGGCGATGGTGCTACTGCCGTCCTTGGGTCGGTGCGGAGAACTGTAGCCGGCCGGAGAGGCCTATCACCCTCTCTGGCATGGCGCCTTAATTTGTTTTCCCCCGTTCCGGGGCGGCTCCTTCCTCGGCCGGTACAGGGGACAGCCCTCCGGGGCTCCCCCTTAAGCACCCTCTCGCCTCCTTCGAACGCTGGAGTTAACAGTCCCTGGGCAGCGGTGGCGGCCGATGCCTGGAGGGCTGGGTTCACCCCCAAGTCCTTTAGGTGTCGTGTTCGTCTGTCGTTGGCGTGGAGGCGAAAACTCACCTTTCCCCCTAAGGGAGAACCACAGAGTGAGGACCGGAAGAGTGTTGCGATCCCTTCTTCCGGCCCTGGCGTAACCACTCTGTCTGAATGTCATTACCCTAGCCACTTGTTGGCCAAGGAGACGCATGCGTCCCCAAGCCGGGGATCTGTCTCAGGTCCCCCGGTAGAGGGGCGCCCCACGATGACAAGTGGGGTGATGGGCTCTGGTAGCTCCAAAAAACGCAAACGGTTGGCAGCTCGGCCTTCGAACGGTGAGCTCGCCGTGCGGGATCAACGGCCCATGGGACTTGACGAATTAATGCCCAGATCTAGTGGAAGCGAGCAATCGGGCGTGCTGTCGTCCCAAACGTCTACCGCCACCCTGGTGCGCGATTCGGGGGACCCAAGTGGTGCTGGTGATGCCGGTTACATGGTTCGTCTTCCTGACCTGGATCCTTGTAGATGGTGTGGAACACAGGTCAACACTGCCTCTGAGTTTGAGGACCATCTGGCCCGAGCTCATGGGGTGGAGTCGATTCTGTGGGCATGTAGGGACTGCGGGCGAGTCCGGCCGAACCACCACCAGATCGCCTGTCACTTACCTAGTTGTCAGGGGTCGGTGGCTGAGGGCAGTTTACGATTCCCTCTACGCCCCCAGTGCCGCAGCAGATGGTCAAGGACCGGCTTCTGGGGATCCTTAGAGCTGCGGCCGAGGGCAACGCTGGTGAGTCGGACGAGGTCCCCATTAAGGAGAGTGATTGTTGTCAGGGAGCAATCATGTCTGCCTCCTCCGAAATGCTTCGTGAGGTTGGTCGGGAGATGAAGGCCGTACCTTCTGCTCGCGTGGGGCCTGCTGGGCGTCCGGTCACCGGTTCGGTCAGGTGAAGCAGACATAGGTACAGTGTCTGGCGGAAGCTGTTTCGTCTTTATCGGCAGGACAGGGCGAAGTTGGCATCTCTTGTCCTTGATGGGCAAACGGGTCAGATCTGCCCCGTCCCCCTATCTGAGATCACTGCGGTGTTCAAGGGTAGGTGGGGT